TTCAAAATACAAGTATTTTCATGAAATAAGTTTTCTCTAGTCTTATCGATTGAAGAAAAAATTCAACTAAAAATAGAATTCTAAAACAGCAGAAAGAATATTGAAAAACAAAGGGATAAGTTTTTTTTTAACTACTCTATAAGGTAAGAGTCATAATTGAGCCTATTGTTGTTTGTGGAATGAAGCCGGCAGACTATTGCAACGATCCAAACACTTGATATTAGCACATTTTCATGAGTATAATAGGTTTTGTCAATTTTCTTTTCTGTAACCTTGAAAGGTCTCTCCGATTATAATCTACTTACTACGATACTTATTTCGTAAAAGCATTTCTAATAGAATCGACGTCTGACATTTCTATGTCAATTTGTACTTGCATTTTTTTCCTTCACTATGATAGATGATAGGAACAAAAACTATTTTTATTCTAATGTCTATAAATACAGATATTTATTTAAAATCATGTAAAACAAAACTTTAAAGAATCTGTCATAATATTGTTTTTAAAAAAAAATCATATAAATTCAATTCTTTAAGAGATATTTACGTAAACTTTTTCCGTTGACTTTTTAGATATAAGATATATATTTATTGAAAATAATTGATATTATTTTAGGTGGTATTTTGCATTAATAAGTATTAGTGGTCTTTTTTCTGTAACATTCAGTGTTGTCTATGCATATGTTGCCGATGTTACTGATGAAAGTTCTCGAAGCACTGCTTATGGTACATAAAATTTAATGCTCTTTTTATTATTGTTATTGACATTTCTTATAGGTTTGGTAACAGCAACATTTGCAGCATCATTAATAACAAGTCCAGCTATTGGTGCACATTTAACAAGACTTTATAGTGAAAATTTTATTATTGCACTCAGTTTGTTTTTCATTTTTTCTTTTGATATATATTTTTAATTAAAGATTTTTTTTTTTTTCTTTTTATTTATTAGGTATAATAGTTACCATAATAGATTTATTATTTATCTATTTTTGTGTACCTGAATCATTACCAGAACGATTACGAACGAATCAAAAAGTGTCATGGAATAAAATTGATCCATTTGGTGTATGTTTTAAAATTTTATTTTTATTTCTAAAATTAATGATTTTTATATAATTAGGCTCTTCGAAATATTACTCATGATCGTTTTATTTATCTTATTTGTCTTATTGTACTTTTATCGTATCTTCCTGGTAAAAAAAATTTTTGCAAAATGAAATCAATTGTTATAGTTTTGTTTTATTTCTAGAAGCTGGACAGTATTCATGTTTTTTTGTTTATTTACGATTAGTAGGTATTTATTTATGAATATTTCCATTGAATATATGTGTATGTTTTTTTTATATAGATGCTTGGCTTTACAGAAGATGAAGTAGCTTATTTTATTGCATTCATTGGAATTCTTTCATGTATTGCTCAAGTAAATAATAACGATTTTCTTTTTCTTTTTTGATTTATCTAACGGATTAGTCGAAAGTTTTAAGACAAAGTGTTTGTTTATTTTTGAATAGTTTGAAAATGTTACCAAGAATTGAAACGTTATGACTGATGAACAGAATTTTGTGTTATTTTCGAATGTAGGATTAGAAATTTTCTTGAGACTAATCAAATGATGCTTTCAAAGGCCAAAAAAAATAGTCCGAACGGAAAATCTTCCTGTACACTTTTGTACCTTCATTATTACAATTCAAAAATAAATATTGACATCTTTATTAAAATATCAACTTGTTGAGAAAAAGCTAAGCTGTAAAGTGTATTATCGAAGTATTTTTACAATTTACTTGAATTTTCGTTTTTTTTTCTCATATTTTTATTTTTGAAAAATCGACTTTTTGATCAAAAGGCATTTTGTATAGAAAGGAGCTTTTGCTAAAAGGCCTTTAGTTTCTCTAGATGAAAGCCATAGCTTAGTTCAATAAAAATTTTTGTGAAGAATTGTCCACTTGATTAAACAACCGACTCGAATATTTTTTGACATCTTTGAAAAGGAACTTATTGAAATCCACAAACAGCTTATTGGTTCATTATTCTATTTGGTGCTTTTTTTACTTTTAAAAAGTTTCTTCAGTGGTCTCAAACAAAAATAAACACAATGTTTCTAAGTCCATTTTCCAAGATGGCATAAAATTCTACTTATGACTCATAGTTTTTGACTTGTCTGAGATATTTTCAAGCAGGTCAAAATGACCAATCATTTGTAACAGATAATTTCAGCTTACACTGTATGTTCGAACTCATTTTTTGGGTCCTACTTCTTTGTAACAAGTAAAGAAAAACTCTACCGGAAACTAGAGTTAGATAAATTAAAAACTGCTGAAAGCGTTCTTCGCCTTCAATAGATAAACTTACATGTCTAACGCATATTTTCAACGAAGTGAGCAAATTCAAAATGCACTTCTTTTTTTTATTTGTGAACGTTGCTCCTTCACTATGATTCTACTTTTCCGTGGAGTAAAACGAAAAATCTAATTTCGAGAGTTGAAATTGAATTTTTCGAACTTTGGTGTTCTATAAATCAACGAAGAAGTCCACTAGTGAGTTAAATATATTTTGAAAGCTTTACAATAACTTGGCGAATTACTCACACTAAATCATACAATCGATCATGAAGTAATTATTTAGCAACTTTAGAATAGTCAAGAGCCAAATTAATATGTTTTCTCAATATCAACCCATAATAAGTTAAAATAGTATTTATTACGAATTCTATGTCTTCAGAGATTATACAAAGATTCAAAACAAGATAGATATTTATTTAATAAGATGTGTCAAAAACACATGTATTCTTTTGACATTTATTTTTATCGATTTACTCGTTTCTTTTTTTCTATTGCTACAATAACATGAGATTGATATTGCTTGAATCCACATTCAATAATATAATCAAAGAAAAAAAAAAGTCGAAACTTAGTATGTCGTTCAATGACCATTTTCTACCATACAGTCGGTCATTGAACCAATTAAATGAGCCTACGTTAGAATATGAATAATTAGAAGATCAGACCACACCATTTGCATCTTAGACTGAATCATATTCTATTTATTAAATTATTTTATTAGTCGCTCTTATAAAACCCACTGTGGAGGGTAAAGGATTAATTTCCCGATGGAGATCTGATAAGAATTATCGAGTCTACTCCGCTTGATTCTAAATGTTCCATCGTCCATATCTATTAATTAATTTTTATTAATTTAGACTCTTCTATTGGCATGTTTACAAAAATATTTTGGTGCAAAAGAGACTATTATGGTTGGATTATTTTTTCAAATAGTTCAATTAGCAGCATTTGGAATTGCTACTTCCAATTGGTGAGATAAAGAAAATTTATTTTGAAATACATGATGTTTATTGTTACTATAGGGTAATGTGGTTTGCTGGTGGTTTAGCTGCTTTATCATCAGTAACATATCCATCAATTAGTGCATTTGTTTCTGTTTATGCTAAAGAAAATCAACAAGGTAAAACATAAATTTTTCTTACAGTTTTGCATTTTTTTACTAAAATTTTAAAATTGTTCCTTCTGTTCTTTTTTCTTTTTACTTAGGTCTTGTTCAAGGTATGGTGAATGGTGTACGTGGCTTATGTAATGGTCTTGGTCCAGCTTTATTTGGATTTACTTTTTATTTATTTAATGTTGATTTAGGTTACACAGTACCAGTATCTGGAACGAAACCAAATTCAAATTTAACAATGTTTAATACTAATACAAAATCTATTTATTTATCGATGTTCAGCCGTGATATACCTGGTCCACCATTTCTTTTTGGTGCTTTTCTTGCAACTATAGCATTAATGTTTTCTCTTCTATTACCAAATTCAAAAACAGATTTCAATGGAACTGGAAACGATACAAGAACTATTGAACAGAAAGCTAGTCTATTGGATATTGATGAAAATACGAACGACAATATTCAATATAAATAATTACTTATATTTGGGTTTGCTTTAGAAAAAAGATCTGTTTCGCTTTTTATTTTACTCTTCTTTGGATCTGTATTTTTTTTGTTATTCTGATTCTTTAATTTGGTTGCTTTTTTTACAAAAAAAAAAAAAAAATACAAAAACTAAAAAATGCATATAAAATGAATAATTGCATACATGAAAAAAAACCAACAAGACTATTTTGTATAAAAGAAAAAAAGATATTTAATATAAAGTAGAACTATACGATTTTTTATTCAATTTATTGAAATCAATTCTAGAAGAATCAGCTTTTGATGGATTTCAAATCGAAGAAATAAGTTTTCCTGATAGCATACCATTGATAATGAAGCCATCAGTTTCTCTTTTGTTATACTATTCTGCTTATCAACATTTGCCATTATTTAACACCAGATGGTATTCACAAACATGCTTTTCTGTGCCACTTATTCTCTTTAACAAATTATTTTATATTTTCTAAAATGGTCCACAACTACGTTCACTCAGTGCATTTTTAACTAAAAGATAAATTTCAACAGAGTTTTCTCTAATTATACTTAAGCTTCTATTTTTCTAGTCTCTTTTTCTTTTGAAATATCATATAGAGGCAAGATAAGAAAGATTTGTTTCATTAATGGCAAATAAATATTTCCGCATTTTCTTCTGTGCATTTTTTTTTTTTGTTAAAATCCGAAAAAAACTGACTAGAACAAGATATACAAATACATGTCATTGTGGCAAAAAGAAAAAAATCAAACACACACAACACAACAAAAGTGAATAAAGTGTATACGGATAAAAAAGAAAAGAGGCATACTGAGACAAAGCAAAAAAAACGAAATAAAACACGGCTATAAAACAAAGCACACACGAAAATGTAATAAAGACAAATATTGCAAAAAAAAAAAGAAAAACGTTGACTTTGATTTCTTCGAAAAAGACAAAAGAGAAAAACGATTTGTTCAGATATTGGCAGTTTTGTTTTTCGTTTCGAGAATTAGAGATCACAGTTTATTCTGGCACAGAAAGGATTTAGAAACAAGAAAAAGAAAGAAAAGCAACGAGAGATTTTGATTGACTAGGCAATAGTATTGTTATTCTCTTTAAGTCGTAATTCAGCAGCTATACGACGATCATGTTCCTTGAGATAAAGTGTTCGATATGTATCTCGTTCTTCTAGAAAATAATTTTTTTTTATTAATTGTTTTTATCTAAGAAATTCAAATACTAACGTGCTATAGATACAAGTAAATGTTGAAGTTTTTCTTGAAAATAAGTCATAGTATTAAAGGAACTATCAAAATGTTGAACAAACGCTAAAACGAACAAAAATTTTTTTTTTTTCAAAAAAAAAAAAAAAAACAAAATTTTGTTTTTTCTTCATACTTTCAATTGATTGTGTACTCATTTCTAGACTTGTTTTTGGTTCTTTAGCTGTTGAATCAACTAGTGTTGTTATTGTTGTTGATGATGATGCTGATGGTGATGATGTTAAACCATTATGATGAAGATGATGAGGATGAGAATGATGTCCATTTGGTCGATTAACAACTGAATGTAATAAACGATTCAATGTGCCTGTTAATCTTTTCGTTGAATTTGATGATGATGATACTGATAAACTAGTTGCAACATTTATTTTATTTGGTAATGTTTGTATTGATGGAGAGGAAGGTGATGAACAATGAAAATCATTATCTTGTTCAACTTTAATTATAATTGGTGTTGTTGTTGATACATCATCCATACCATTTGTTATTGTTATATGTGTTGGTGATAATGAATTACTTGGATTTACTGTCTGATCACTATGTGGACTTGTTTGATTATCACCATTATTTGTTATATGATGATTTGTATTACCATCATCATCATCATCTGTTAATACATCAGCTGAACTATTTCCACCAATATAACATTGTGAACTTTCTAAAAACAATAAACAAAAAAATAAATTATTGAAATTTGAAATTAAAATAAATAAGAATTGATTTTAAAATCTTTACCACTAGCATTTTCATCAACAGAATCAAAACGAAATTGTGCAGATGTTGAATCAACTTGTTTATCACTAAAAAATGAAAAAATATATATTCAATAGAACTTAATTTAATTCTTTTTTTCTCTATCTCTTACCTATCTAATTGAATATTATATTTTTTAATAAAATTTGAACACCATGAACGTGATGCAGCAAAATCTGGATTTCCGGTTAATTCTCTCATTGTTGCTAATGCATAGGAATGAAAATCACGATTATTTACACGTTCACCATTTTCTTGTCGTGTTTGAATCCATTCAAGTATACGTGAATGTGCTTCTTTATTTCGTATAGCTGATGTACGTTCACCATTTGGTTTTTGATATAACCATGAAGCTATTGTTGATGGTGCAACTTGAAATAATTTTGATGCTGCTTTAACACCATGTTTTTCAGCATATTCATGTATTCGTACTTTTTGTTCAGGTGAAACAAGTTTATATGAACCACGTATACGTTTTTGTGCTGGACGATCAATTTTACGCTTACGTTTATTATTATTTTGATAATCAATTTGATTTCTTGGTGGTGATGACGATGATGATTGAACGGTTGATAAACCAGATGATGGAGTGAGTAATTGTTGTTGAACAGCAACAGCGAATGCATCGAATTTATTCAGTGATTTAGATGAATCATTCGTTTGTCCTTTAATTTTTAATGTTGGAGAAGTTGCTGTTGATGATGAATCACCTGGATCAAGTTGAGGTAAAACAGCCATGAAATCCTGTTGTTTTTTTTTGTAAATAAAGAAAAAATACATTTTTTCCTGAAAAAAAAAAGATAAAATGAATTTTCAACTTACAGCAATCATACTTTCATCAGCTGTATAATCAATAGGTTCAATTTTTTGATGATGTTGATTGCTTAGAGTATTTGCTACCGAGCCTAATGGCGTCGATGCATGTGAATTCGTCGTTTTTGTCGATATTGAATGATCACTCATTGAAATAGAATATGGCTAAAACAGAAAAAAAAGATTTTTTTTTTTTTTCTTTTCTATATATTATCCGAAAATATTCATAGAAAATCTCATAGACGAAGAAGTAATAACAAGAATTTCTTTCCTTTTTCATATCTTCATCAGTACCTGCTTTCGCTGCTACGTCTTCTTCAAACAACAAAAAAATTGATAGAGTAAGTTCAGTCGGCTACTACTACCTTTTTCTTTATACTGAAATGAATGACAGAAAAAAGTATGTGTGTGGAAAGAAAAAAGACAGAGAAAAAGAGAACGAGACGAACTTTTTTTTCTGTTTGTTACCGAAGTGCTCAATTCGACTTCTTTCATATATATATAGTAGTCACCGAGCGCAAGTTAAAAAAAAGTGGAAAGAGAAGAGTCGTGTTCAACGACAACACCACTCTTTTTTTTCTATTGTGTATGTGTGTTCGTCTTCTTCATTCTCAGTCTTTTTTTTTCTGTATGTGTGCGCGCATTTGGCGTCTGCAAATACATCAATGCGAGCGAGAGTAGACAGATAGAAAAGAGGGAAAAAAAGAGGAAAAAAAGTTGGGGCCGAAAACGAATGGGAAACGCACGAACTCTTTTATGCTTTCTCGATGTTGGTAATAGTGAAGGAAACAGAGGGAGAGAGAGAGAGGGAACGGAACCAAATGGAAAGAGCAAAACAGAAAAGGAGGGCAACCAACCATCGGAAAAAATAATCTAAGAGAAAGGAAAGAGAAACAAAGTTGTCTGGAAATGTGTATAGATGTGGAGTATGTACAAAAAAATGCACACGAACACATAGCATCTATCTCTAGAGTTTCTTTCTTCTTGAACTTCCGCACGCGCGTCTGCTCGCGTGTTCTTATACTACGAAACATTGCGAATAGGGAAAAAGAACGGACGCACGACGATCGATATAGGTTACGTCGTTGTAAAAATAACATGGAACAAGGATAAAAGAAAAGAGTTCACCAAAACTATCATCATCATCATCATCTTCATCATCATCATCAACATATAAGTAAATAGACGGCAACGAGTACCTAAATTATTTCTAGGAACAAATATAAACGAACGTTATTCTCTGACAGAATAGCGGAATAGAACAACATATTTTCGACTTTAATTACACATCAACATATACTATGGGAAGCAAGATGCTCTCGGCAACGACAAAAGAAAGAGAAGAGAAGTCGAGGCGAAAAAGCGGACGGAACGGAAAAAAGTGTGTCTCGCGCTCGGAAAGTTGACGACCGATGATGGCGGTAGAATAAGCCGTAGTAGCATCTTCTGTTCTACTGCAATGTTGTTCGTCAGGAACGAACGCGCGGGCGCACGCATACACACAGCGACGAAGAAGAAAAGTTGAGTATAGTCGTATAGGTTTTTCCGTACCGCATCTGCTCCCGTTGGTGTATTTACTTTACGTGTGTGTGCTCTCTCTCTCTCTCGCTATGTTGGGGACTACATAACTGGAAAAGTCAGACGTGTGTGCTTCGATGATGAGCAAGCTATGTTGAGGAATATGATCTTTGGTTATATGCACACGCGCGAGTGAGAATAACGTCGTTTTCGCGTCATCGAGAGAAAAAGATGAATGATGAATGAATATGAGAAAAGACGGAAATGGACGTATAGGCAAGCAGACAATCGTCAAGAACTTTCATGATAATAATACCACATTGCATATTGCAGTATATTACTTAAAATTTAATCAATTTTACATTGCTTCAAATACTTTTAAATGAATATGGAGAGATGATTCAATTACATAATTTTATTTGAATGATAGCTATAGAAAAATAATGTTCAAGTTTTAAATTAAATCTACGAAGAATAATCTTCGATAGTCTTTTGATTTCGTCATTGATTGATTCTACTAAACTGTGTTACAATTCTATAGTACAGCCGCGAGCTAGATTATAAAAACATGATTATTTCAATATGTTTTACAATATCGAGTTAATGATCAATAGGGCAAAAAAATAATAATAAAATCATCAAGACTTAAACATGTGCCAATCATCGATGATTCTTTGCAGGTAGAACATTTTTTTTCAAACGTGCAATATAATAACAATGATTGCATACTTGATCAATTTCACCAGCGATTCGAGGCATGACTATTCATACATTTAACTATATTCATAGGTTGTTATTTATGCTTCACTGAATCGACTGTTTTACTCATCTTAGTATTTAACATGCATTCAAACGCATCTATCTTCATTTTCATCTAATTTAATAGCACAAAACATACACATCCATAAACAATCATGGGACAGAGTTCAAGTCGTAGACCACACACTCAATGGGATTTGGACAGATTAGCACAAGCTACTGGTTTATCTCCTTATGAAGTTTCAGAGGTCTATGAAGAATTTCGGCAGGCAGCTGGTCGTGATGGACTATTAAGTAAACAGGAGTTTAGTAAAATCTATAGTCGGTTTCCTGGTTCTCAATCCCAAGATTCACAATACATGAAAGCTCAAATTCCTCGTATTTTTCGTACATTTGATCGTGATAATTCAGGAAAACTTTCATTCGAAGAATTTCTTAGTGCTGTTGTTATGATGAATCATGATATGCCTCGACGTGATCGTATTGGATTCCTTATTGATCAAAACAATATTTATGGCAATGAGTATGGTGATGGACGAATTACATCTGAATATGGTGAGCAAGTCTTTGAATATCTCAATAATTATTATGGTTTACCTCGTGGCAGTGCAAATCAATGTTGGCAACAAGTTGATACGAATAATCGTGGTTATGTCACTCGGGAAGAGCTTATGGATTACATTACTCAACAAGACGCCTACACTCAACGCTATTCATACTAGATTTTTGTTATATTTATTAATCACATATATCATAAATATCAATATAGTTATTTTTCTTTTTTCAGAAGTGAGTTTCTCATATAATATTTCTACTAAGCTACTTATATATCTCAAACTAGTTAGAAACAGAAACGTACTATTTTTAAAAAATTAAAAATAAAGCTAAATAATAATAGAAAAAATCTACTTAAAATCTTCATGCACTTGAAATGGCTAAAAATTCAAAACAAAATTTGTTATTTGACTCCTAAATAGAAAATATCAAACATATTCTCATTATATATGATAAACAAATATTGCTGATGTGATGTCTAATGTGAGGCATTCACAGTGTCCTTCAGTAACGAGTAATCAATAAGTAGAGAAAAAAAATTTATTATCTTATATGATATATAGTTTGTGTGAAAAGATTATAAAAGG